ATAACTTCAACGGAAGGTTTACAGATGGATATGCGGAGCAAATCCATCTGGCGGAGTCAGGTTAGATGCATGGCTCTCCCTTCAGGGTGCCATGCAACCAGAGGACAACAAACACACAAAAATAAAAGGTTCCAGTCAGTGGAGAGAATACAGGAGTACATTTTAGGAAAGTGTAATTGTAGTTATGTATATAAGTTGATATATAATTTGAGATTCTTACCTATTTTGGAATAAAGGGGTATTTCGCTTATTTTAATGAAATCTTGACTGCAATTGATTGATTGTTTCATCTGTACACATTATAATCTCAGACTATTTATGCCTGTTCTTAATAGGAATTCTTTAAAATACCAATAGACAAAGAGACAATTTAATTTTCTGTTTAATTTTCTTTTACTACCTTTCCTTCAGAAAGGTTGTGTAAAAAACAAAAAAAAATCTTTAGAAATATAAATACAGTAATCTTTATTTTGCTGTGTCAGTAAAGTGCTCCTCATTAGCAAAATATATATATAGTTTTACTCACAATCTGAACTGTTGTTCTAAAAAAAAAAGTCTTTTAAAGTTTGACATTTGGGTAACACAGTGCCCGGATTTTAAATTAGACATTTACTTTGGGAATTTTGTCTAATTAAAACAAATAAAGCGCTAAAAAAAACAAAAAACTCCTCTATCTCCTCCTTGATTGACTAAAAGATTCGATTGAAGTATGTGTTACATTTTGTTTTTACTTCTAAGTTGCAAGAAGCTGTTTGAAATCGTTTTTTTATTCATAAGGGGGAGACCTTATGGTCCAAAATGGCTGCCTTGCATATTTAGAGCAAATGTCATGAATCATTTTCTTAATTAAATCTATTGTAATAATTAACTTTGTTAGACGACATTTTTCTGATTTCTTTTCCTCTTTGCCTCCATGTCTCACAGGGCCGTATTTGCAGGAAAGCAGGAAAGTCCAAGAAAGCTTTCAGTCGTAAAGAAGCTGAGGCCACATTCAAGTCCCTGGTGAAAACCCACGAGAAGTACGGCTGGGTGTCCCCGCCCATTTCCGACGGCTAGGTGTCCAGCTGCCATCGCTCCAACACCTGTCCTAGCCAGAGGGGGAAAGGAAAAAAAAAACAACAAAACAAAACGAGCTACCCTCTACGTGCAAAACAACACACCACGCTAACTCAAAAGTATCTCATTTTCACTTTTGGCTGTTTCACTCAAGATATTTTTTTTTCATTGTTTTTGTCACCACACAACTACAGAAATGACATTTGTTGTTTTTGTTTTTGGTGGTGCAGGGAGTTCATTTTTTTGTTTTTTGATTTCTTCACCTTCTTGCCAAGGGATTCTTTCTCGTGGTGTAGAAGAGCGAGAGGAGCGTGTTCGTGTATGAATGTTACCTCATAAGAGATCAGCTGGGAATGTGTGTCACTACAACTGGAATTATTGTTGCTGTGTTCTTTCTTTTTTTTTTTTTTTTTTAGCAAACGCCAATGTACGTACACTCAGACAAATTGGATATGCGAACTTTTTTTCCACCCATGTTAAAGACTACTGAATGAAGAAGACTCATCTTTCTCACCAGTCGCACTAAACCGGCTACATTCAACCATTTGTGCAGCTCTTGGGTCATTTAAATACAAATGAAGCTGTTAATGTTTAATAGTAGGGCAGCGCAGTGGCATTTATACTCACTCACTCGTTCTCTATTTAGTTTTTTTTCCCCCTTAGCTTTTGACTGTGCCGTTGCTCACGGTTCAATGCAACATGAAGATTGTAATTTACACAGAGCTGTGCTCTTACTCTTTCTTCTTTGACTCGCTTTGTTTCTCTTTTTCCTTCTCTTGTGGCTAAACTTAGAGCTCAGTGTTGCTTAGATGGATAAAAAAAAAAGTCACAAGTTGCTTTATGGAGAAATTCTGTATGATAAACATAATGACAGTCACCTTCTTCTGTTCTCTCTACACTCTCATGTCAGCTTGTCTGTATGAGGGGAACAAAGCTATTAATTCCCATGATTTAGATACCAGATGGACGAGCTGAAGGCCGGGCCTCAGTGTCTGCGTGTTTATAACGAACCAACCCTTTAAACGATGAAACATGTGGCTAACTGTGAATGACACCATGACCTGAAGGGAGTGCTGTTTCTTTAGCTGCCTGCTTAAAGAAATGACAATATCTGCGTCATTCCTTTAAACAGGAGTGCATTTGTAACTGTATGTCTCTTTAGCTGCAGACACACACAGGTTTGACTTCACAGAGATGCCAACACCTCCAAATGTGAGCTGGAGTGCTGCTTTAAATGAAGGCTTTAGAGAACTCCTGATTGATGCAGCATGGGGAAAAGGACGATGTGACAGGGAAGAAGGAGGATAGGGAGAATAGGGAACGCCTTGATCACTGCAGCCTCCTCTTCAGAAAATGTCAGGTGGCTTTGCAAAACTGATGAGCAGCAGGGTTTATTTGCTGTACCTGTAGTTTGAGTATTTGAGTTCCAACCTTTGAAAGGAGTTTCTAGATGTCGAAAATCAAGCGTACAGCCAACATTATCAGTCATCGGCTCTCTGGGCGGAGTGTCTGTCTGTCCGGTCCAGTTTGTTTTGCTACAACCCAGGTAAATGTCAGAGGAAACGCTGTTAATTGGTCTGACATTTCCGCAGAACGTCATTAGAAAAGAGCAGGAGGATGGAGGACGTGGAGGCCTCCCGCTCAGCTTTGACATATCGTCGCTAGCCTCTGCCAGCCGAGCGAGGCAGTTCTGTCCGTAATCCCTTTTTTTTTTAAATCTTTTTAATTTAGCTTAGTGGTGCGTCCAATTTTAAATTCCTGTGAAGAAACAAGCCTGTTAAATTCCTTTTAATGTAAAAAAAAAAAATGGCAACAGAGACAGAAAGGCAACAAACCATCTGGTATGTGATCATGTTTAAAAGCGTGCTAGTGCTTCTTTGAGTTTGGCTCATTTCAGGTTCAAACATCAGCGGAAAACTGTAATCTGAATAATCGTTATGACTGAATATCTTTAAAGCTGAGTGTTTGCTGGTTCCAAGACAAACCTTTTTTGTGACATAGTTTAGACTTGGTAGTTTGCAGAAACTAACTGGGTGAACTGACTATTTGTAATATATCTGCATGTGATACGTGATTGGTAGCTAGCGACTGTATATCGTTGTTTTTTTTTCAAGAAAAGCAAGAAAAACAGAGAAAACAAAAGTGCAAATGCTTCTCTCTTCCTTTTTTTTATTTATATTAATACAGTTTTTTTTTTTTTTTTTTTTTAGTCCTGTACTGTTTGGACCTTCTCATTCTTTCTAAATGTCCTGAAAACAAATGTCACATTGTGTTATATGAATGTTTGTGTTTTTATTTATTTGTGGTTTGCCAAAACGATGATTTGAAGCATGTTGCAGGGACTGTCACCAGAAAATGAGAAGAAACAAAAAATAAGTAAACAAAAAAAAAGATAGCTTCTGTATTTATGTGATGGGAGAAGGTGTGTTTTGATTGGGGAAGTGGTTACAGGGCGCAAAGACTTTAAATTAAAAAAATATGGCTTTGTTGGAGTGCAACACATCCTCTCACTCCTGGGAATACTTTCTTGTCCTGTTAGTAATTTAACTGCAGTCCCTTCCCCAATGGTCCTAATCTATACACTAATTTGGCTCGAGGGTAATGCAGTCAACACAGCCTGGACATTATGCGCTCTGTGTAACAGATCGTGGATCAGTTTGGACTCCCTCTGCTTCAAATCTAACTTCTCAAGGGAATCCGACCTGGGATTAGTTACTTTGAGCAACTTTGTCCGATTCCCGGCCAGAGTGTTTGGGAGACCGAAGTCTTAAAGGGTTCAAAAGGTGAAAGGTCGTTGCAAGACGAATGTGCAATAAAAATGACATCTTACTGAAAACCGACTGATCTGGTGGTTTGTTTCTTGTCACGAGCTACGCTTTCATGCATTTTAGTGATCCATTTCAGATTTCTGTGTCCTTTTCCTGCCCCCTCCTTCTGCATTGACCCACTTTAATGACTGGTAAAAAGCTTGAAAAAAAAAAAAAAACGAAATCTAGATAAGTAATTTTTTTTTTTTAAATAAGTGCATTTGTTCTTGGATTGAGGAAGAAAAAGAGACATTTTGCCAATGGAACAAGACAATTTACATTTAAAATAAGAAAACACAATTGGATTCTCTTTTTTTCAAGTGTATGTTATCTAATTATCTTATTTTAAATAAAAATACTAATTCCATTGGCAAACTATCTCATTTACCTATTCAAATTAAGGGAAAATACAGTTGATTTAAGAAATGTTTAACTTATTTCTAGATTGTTTTTCCAGTGTGCATGAGCTGCTGTTATTCAGCCAGATGGAGATATGCTGCTTCTTCTGTAAGAGCAGATCACCTGTTGTACCAAAAAATAAAGAGCTTATAAAAACGAGGTATGGTTAGAGCTTCATAAACTCAATTAAGCAATTTCCAAAGCGTGTCATGTGGTAATGAAAATGCAATGATAGGTTTGGAAACTAGACCAGACTGGATTCCAAATCCAAGTGTTTGTTGCCAGCTAAATGTCGTTCAAAATAAAAAAGAAAGAGTTATGTATTTAATTTTTTAGTAATGCAGTCAAGTATTATAAAATAATGGAATCCTTTATTCGTCTTTGAAAAATCAATAAAAATATGCATCAACCCCTCTTTACCGTACAAGGATGAGTAGGTATAGACGACAGATCAATCTGATACTGAGAAAGTGGTAAAGTTACATTTTCAACTGAGATGCATTAATTTAGCTTGCAAAGTAACACTAGTATCTGAAAAAGAAAGGAAAATGCCACAATTATTAGGACCTACCAAATACCTGCAGCTGTGTTGTATTTTTTTTATTATAATTGTTGGTTTACTTTTCAAGTTGATCATATTGTCTAGACCAGAGGTTCCAAAGGTAATATTTGCTGGGTCCATCTTCAACATACAATAAAGCTGCAACACTAAAACTGCCAAGTTTAACTTACCAACATGCACAGTGGTTAGCAGTGTCTACAAAGCTCAGATTATTAACCTGCAACAAAGAGTTACATGTTTGGATCAAGTTCATATGACATTAATTTAACGCTGGCTATAGTCTAAGCATTTACTGAGGAGGCATGTCAGGAAAAAAAGGCTTTTCTATTCTAAAAGCACAGGTATAAATCTATGGAGTTTGCTTAAGTTGTAGGGAGGGCTTTAGATAGTTGTGAGCTGGGTCAGATAACATTTTTGATTAGTTTATTTTTTATTCTGTAACAAGCATTTTATCTCTGTCTCTTTCTGTCTCTCTGAACTATTTCAAGCATTTACCTCTAATAATTCTGCTGATTATCGTTAACAGATTGTGAAAACCTAAAATTAGAAATGTTAATTAGAAATATAAAAAATCACCAAAGGGGAAATTTTAAACAGAAATGCCAGACTTGTAAATATTAGGTTCATGTCAATGCACTTAAAGGAATAGTACACCCAAAACATGATTAGCCTTCATTTTCTACTCACCCCCATGCTGAACAACACTCTGGAGTACTTTTTTGAAATCTCAAATGCATCTGGAGATCTGGGAGGCTTCTTGCTGTCTGCTGACATTCAAATAATGGAGGTCTATGGCGCCCGAGGCAGAAAGGTCCATAAAAGTCCACAAAAAACGTGTCAATATTCCTCCATACTGCTCGTCCAATGTATTCCAAGTGTCCTGAGTGGGTAGCGTCCAGAATTTACTCGACATGAAGTCATTTAGAATGTTTTTAGAGCATAAACAGTAGTGTATAGGATTTCCTAAAAGCGCGTACACGGCGCTACGGAAACCGCGGCAGACCAAACCAGACGAAAGTGCGCATTCAGCTCAGCAAAGAACTCATGCTCCTCCTCAACACTGAAGTCCTCAGACATTTTTCTTTCGTTGTTTCTTTTTTTGCACAGGTAAACAGCACATTTCTTCTTCTACGCTTGCATTATTGGCAGAGCAGACGCTGAATGCGCACTTTTGTCTGGTTTGGTCTGCCGCGGTTTCCGTAGACTCGTGAACGCGCTTTTAGGAAATCCTATGCACTACTGTTTATGCTCTAAAAACATTCTAAATGACTTCGTGTCAAGTAAATTCTGGATGCTACCCACTCAGGACACTTGGAATACATTGGACGAGCAGTATGGAGGAATATTGACACGTTTTTTGTGGACTTTTATGGACCTTTCTGCCTCGGGCACCATAGACCTCCATTATTTGAATGTCAGCAGACAGCAAGAAGCCTCCCAGATCTCCAGATGCATTTGAGATATCAAAAAAGTACTCCAGAGTGTTGTTCAGCATGGGGGTGAGTAGAAAATGAAGGCTGATCATGTTTTGGGTGTACTATTCCTTTAACGTTTAGTCTGGGCTCCTTTTGCTTGAATTTCTGCATGTGTGGCACCGATGGCATCTTATAGAAGGCCAGTTTGATTAGACTGCTACCTTCTTGTTATGTACATTGATTATTCTAATATCTCTCATATTGACATGGTTTGCTGGCCAATCAGGAGATGCAACATCTTGGTCATTTTGATTCTTTTGGCTGTGTTAGCAGACGCCACGTCCGGGAGGTGGAAGGCCCTAACATATCCAGGTAGATGAGTATGTTAGGAAAAATCTTCACACTTCTAGCAACTTGAATTCTTTGTCTCTCTGCTCTTTCTCCAAACTCTGAGAACTTTGTTTTAAAATGAAAAGAAGTATTTATTTTCATCAGAAAACAGGACTTTTTACAGCTAACCAACAGTCAGATTATTATTCGCTCTCAGATTAGGTAAGGTGACTCTGACATTGTCTCTGGGTGAACTGTGAACATCTGTATCAGTGAGATTCGTACGTACATAATGGCTCCT